AATTACTAAGAAGAAAGTAAACCTACAGACATCGGTCTTGTTTAACAAAATCTGCCTACAAGAAAATCTGTCACCAAAGTACACTAACTTAGCTTTAGAAACATTGACTATCTTTACTTAACTTTCCTTAAAGGTTTTTAGTATATGAAGCAATTTTCGACAGTGAAAACACTGAAACTTTTATCTAGTACACTTCCTTTTTGTTTTTTGAAAAATAGAAAGAGTCTAATTAGAAGTTAATAAAAACGACATTTTTTTATTTATACCAAACAAATACACTGCCACTTTAAGACTTTAGAATTAAAACTATTTAAAATATGTTCCTGATCGTCTTGCTAAATTGTATTACAACCATAAATGATCTTTGACGGTCATGGCTAGCAGGTGGATCAGTTGATAAAATGGATTTATAACGGACAACTTACTGGAATGTGTCGAAACCGTCCAACAGGTTAATCTTCCCGATGGCTTAGTGGCACGTCTTAGGGCTTATAACCCTAAAAAATAGGGTTTCGATACTATCGGTGGGCAGAACAGAGATAGCCCACTGTATAGTTGCTTCACAACAAACAGATAAAACCAATAAATTGTCTTTTAGAAATCCTTTTAACCAATCATAAACATTTCTATTGCAATTATCAATGTCATTTTATTAAATTTATAAACATATTTATTAGTTATAAATGTAATTTTATTAAATTTATAAACATATTTATTAAAAATATGAAGGCCTATTTATTAAAGTAATAATCGTATTTATTACAAATATGAATTCCATTTTATTAAAGTTATAAACATATTTATTACAAATATAAATGCTCAAGTTATCACATATATTGAGTTTACTTCAGTTAAATTATATATTCTGTGTATGACCTTATACCTTATGCACATATTTCAAATAATATTGTAACATTTCTGTTTTACTTCCACTTTATTTTAATATCTTACTCATAACTGTTACTTTATGTTATTTTTACAGTCTTGGAAAGTTTTTCTGTGCATACATATATTTCGTTTCTTAAAAATGTCTTGAATGACCCTTTTCCTGCTGTACCCTAAGACTATCACTGAACAGAAGTGTAAATCGATAGTTGTGATTGATTTTCTTTGAATTCTGTTCCGTTTGCCGACTCAGAATTCTTGTTGTTAGTATTACGAATGGCTATTCCAAGTGTTGAGCTGTACCAAATATTGTAAAGAACGTTTTGAATATGTTTTTTTTTATTTACCTTTGCCAACTGTAGCAGAGAATTTTCTTAAAACCCTTTTAAGTCTTTGGTACCATATACATCTACACTATGTTTCCAAACCTTTTGGGAAAGCAAACTGTGAACATAGTGGGTTTCATCATAATAGGGAACGAAACTAATTTTTGGCGTTAATAACAGCCTGGATTGTGTTACTTACATCAACTACTGGTACAAATTTGATGAAAGAGACCACCACACCTCTTTCAAAATAATTCTAGTTACAGGATCATTCTGGAGTATGTCCTTATTGACATTCTGATATCGGGTCCAAAATAATTCATTTGAATTCATGCTGCGGTCTCGGGAGGTCCAAGACAAATGTTTCACTTTATGTGTTCCAAATATTGGTGAACAATATGACGTGTGGTATGGCATGACGCATTCTCATCTTGAAAGATGTATGATCCTTCCCCATAGAGTTCCTTCAATACAAACGTTGCAGCATTTCCTACAATGACATATTGCGACAAGGCATTTATGACATCCTTATCTGTTACCAGCTAAGAGATGATGTTCATCTTCTGTGTGTTCGCTAAGTTTCGGTATTTCATATTTAACGATCGAAGCTCGTGGTTTTTTCTTTACCTTTTCATAATTGAAAATGTAGTGTTAGCACGCTCTTCTTCTGGTTAAGGTTCAGTTTTCTTAGATTAGTGGCAAGAGATTCTAGTATTTCAATATGAAATTCTTCACGGGAATTGAGAAAGACGCTGGAAAAACAGGAGGTATGCATAATCACATTTGTTTAGAGAGTGGTTGGTAATACTCTAGTGTTGTATGTGTTAATGTTCCAGTGATCTTTTATTTGACTCCACAGCCTTCTACTGGTTGATTCAATATATATCACTTGTTTTGTAACATTCTGTTCCTCCTAAGAAAGTTACTACAGATTATTATTTCTTATATTTTAAAAGTTTCATAACAATTGTCTAAGCGTTAAATTGGAAGAAGTTGGTACAGAAATTTTTAACAAGGTAAAACTCAAGGCACTGATTGTTTGTACCATTGGAACATTTACAAGATTTCAGAACTAGTAAAAACAATAGTAATTTAAGCAACAATAAACCCCAGGTTTTGAAAACTTAAAAAAACAAAACAACAAGGACATTATAATCGCAAAATCGGAAAATGTAATAGGACTGTGATTTTAAATTAACATCAACAAAGTGGAATCAATTTAAATTATTCGGATAAGTTTATACTAACTAGGAATGATCCAATAGAAAAGAGAGAAGCCAAATTTACGAGGTACATTTTAAAGGTGAAACTTCGACGTGATAACGGAAGAAATTTACGAAAAGAATCAGATCAGCGGATTCACAGTGTGAGTTTATATAAACAGCTATGTCCAGTTAGACCAGTTGTTTTAGTGTAGGCAACTGCATAAACAACCACTAGCAAGATGTTTGACCCTGTTTTCGAAAGATTTTTTACAGAATGAATATTGTGTTAAAAGTATTTTTGAATTTGTTGATAGCTTAAAGCAGGCACAATTTAATGACGACATTCATTGTTGCCGGGGTTATGATATCGAGCTTCTCTTTACAATTGTACCTATGGACGAAACTACTGATTTTCTTTCTGTAACTTTGTATTTTCTGAGAATGAAATTCTAAAGGCTATATAACTAAAGATGATTTTAAAAAACATTAACGTTATTCGATGAAACAATCACATTGTATGTTTAACGGTCAAATCTATGAACAGATTTATGGAGTTGCTATGGTCTGCAGCGTTGTTCTAGACTTTGCTAAGCTATTTCTGTGCTTCTGTGAAAATGTTATGGTTCTGTTTGTGGTGTTTGACAATGCTGAGCCCGTTAACGAATTTTCCTTGTTGTTAAATGGTAACCATCCAAATAGAAAATTTAGTGTTGAAATTTAACAGAAAGACAAACTTTCGTTCCTAGGTGTTTATGTATTAAACAACCAGGGTATACCTACCACTAAATTGTATCATAAACCCTCTTTCCCTATTTAAGGTTTACGTCCCTTGATTTTTAATGAAAATCTGGTTAGAACTCGGTTATGCATAGCCTTTAATATATCAGACAATCAAAACCTTTTTTGAAGCAGAAGCTGAGAACGTTATATGAATGCTTGGAAGAGATAGTTTTTCATTGTCTTCCCGCACACAATGATTTACACCCATGTTGAAAAACCCAATACCTCATCTATTGTTAAGTTAGATGATCCAAACAAAACTTTTACATTAGTCAATTACTACTTAAGCGCTATTTCACACACAACTAAGAAGAAAATGAACAAACAGTTATACTGAGAGCAAGTAAATACACAATACCGTGTAGAGTAATCTATATAAATATAATAGTACTGTCTGTTGTATTCCACATAACTACTTCACAGGGTTTGGATGGATCTTCACCAAAATTGGTATGGAGGTTCATTAGGTCCATTTGGGGAAACATACAAATTTTAA